CTGCCCTAGAGGGAAGCCCATCTCTGCCTGCCCGCCCGGCCTCTTGAAAGTACTCTTCTATGGTACAGGGCACACCAATGTGGATAACATTTCTGATATCATTTAAATCTAAGCCAATTCCGAAAGCAACAGTAGCAAAAATGATTCTCAATTTTGACTTCCCTGCTATCAGGCCATCAACAATTGTTTCACGCTCATGTATGGGGTACTGCGCATGGTACTGAGTAAACATTCTGTTGCACGATCTTGGGTCTGAGCCTAACGGCTCATATTGCCTGTCCCCCATTTTCTCAGTAAAGTAAACATAACAGGAAGAAATTGTTTCAAGTGTACCAAATATAAGTGTTATAGGACATTGTAATCTTTTTTCAATTAATTCCTCTACTAATGGGTCAAGTATCTTGTCTAGTTTCTCATCCCCCCGATCAGGTCTTCTTGAAACAGCAAAGTATATGTTGCTTCGATCAGGGTTAGCATCAATAATTATTGGCTCTACAAGACCAAGGGGCTCTACAATCTCTTTTCTGGCATGGAGGGTTGCAGTAGCAGTAAGGCCAACTATTGGCACATTGGGAAAATAACTGACTAAAATCCCCAACTTGGTGTATGCTGGTCTAAATTGTTTCCTGTAGATTTGAAAGTGAGATAGAGAGAAAGAGAGGTGTTATGATAGATAAGTTAAGAAGAAATATTTTTTATAGTAAAGAAGCCACCTGGAAAATTCAAATTCAAATGTACAGCAATAGCTTCCCATTAYTTTCAACAAATGAGAAAAGAAATGCAAACAATACATCCACAGTATTAAAGTACAAATCCCTTTAATTATTTGATCTGAAAATAGCAATATCAAATTACAATAATATTACTACTTCATATTATTCTTCCAAAAGGATATAACTTAAGCCAAATCATTGATTGATTAAGTGGAGATCAAGGTTCCAAACAACAGTACAACCACCTAATTAACTGAAAATGTATTGATTTAATTACCATTCTATTGCCAAATGAGCCTCATCCACTACGATGCCCTTTACTCGATGAATTATCTTTTTAGATTTCAAGATCTTGAGCACATCTTTGTTTTCTACTATAGCTTCTGGATGAGCTAGTATTAACTGGTATTCGTCCAAGCTGTCGAGCGATTTACTTTCATCTTCCCCACCTTCCATCACCCGGTCTCCACGAAGAACACAGACCTTCATTCCGCACTCTTTCAGTTTGGAAACCTGATCTCTTATAAGTGCGTTCAAGGGCGAACTGACTATGATAATAGATTTAAATTGTGGATCCACACAATCAAAATGGTCAAACACTTCAGGCAAAAGTTGATAAATTAAAGACTTCCCGTATCCTGTTGGAAGAACGGCTAATACATCTCTTTTCTCCATTACTATAGACT